ATGGATTTACTGGGGGGTGCAGGGGGGTGTACACCCCCCCTAGCCCTGGCCAGGAGGGGTGCAGGGGGGTGCTATTTTTCATGATAAAGCAAAAAATTATCAGAGACAAAATGAGATTCAGTAATTTGAGTAATAACATGATGATAAGCGAGCTGTGAACAACAATTACAATTCAATTACTCTAGCTAGACTTTGCAGTAGTTAAGCAAGTTGATAGATGTGTAAAGTCACTGGTAAGCAATTGCAACGTACTCGTCCGGAAAATTTTTTTCCCTAAAAAGCTGTCGATGGGGGGGGGAGGTTGTTGCTTTCAGAAAAAAATTTTTTGGCAGAGCACCCCCCCTACCAGACCATGCTGGATCCATCCCTGTCAACAACACCGAAGTGAAGGAGCGTAATGGTATATATATATGCGTAATGGTATATATATATATATATATATATATATATATATATATATATATATATATATATATATATATATATATATATATATATATATATATAAAATTAAAAATTAAAGATTAAAACCTGAGAACGTTCATTAAAAATTGAAAAGCACAACAGTTCTGTTTCGAGAGGCCCTTTCTTTTTTTCGAGAGGCCCTGTAGGCGGCAATGGCGGATTTGTGATAAGTATTGTATTAAATGTTTTGGTTGTCCGATTCGTAGATGACTAGACAAAATGATTTAGGACGAAAATTTAATTTAACAGAATTCTTGCATTTCAATTAGAGGTGTGCGTCGGATCGGATTGACCTCTCTCAATCCGATGGTTTGTCTGAGTTCTCAATCCGAATCCGATCCGATCCGAAGATGAAAAAAGTAATCCGATCCGATCCGAAACAATGTTTATAAAATCCGATCCGATCCGATGCTAAAATTCGTAATCCGATCCGATCCGAACTTAAGTTGTGTACGCTGTACAGCGTGCGTTAATTATTATGAACGTATTTTTTCATGATCATAAACGATATATTGGAAATAATGAATTTCTAGCAAAAATAAGCAGATACGAATCCGATAAAAATTGCAGGGCGATATCACATAATTATGCCTTATAGCGTTCACATTTACAGTACACAGTAACAGCAGTTTATATTTTATTAGAATTAGCATAGAAAAAAAACCCAACTAGTCAAAAATGTTTTATTCAGTATAATAAATCATGAGCTTGAGCTAGGTTTACATTTTAAAACATCTTAACGTTTATCACTAATAAACCTCATTGTCAGGCTTCATGTGCTGTTTTTGAATAGCCGAGGCCCGAGGGGAGATTGGGTGGCATAATGGCATTCGTTATTCGCGAATCGCGATTTCGCGAGCGAGCAAAACGTTACTTTGACTTTGTAGTTTGTATGGACTATATGGATTATGGAATTACTTTTATGCTCAAAGCCATTGTGAATTCTGATGCCATTTGTAACGTAAAAAGTGGAATACAGCTGCAGAATATAGAACTTTCTCAATTTGTAAAAATATTCGAATAATTCGACGTGATACAAGAAAAATCAAATCCGAACCGATCCGACAAAAACCTGCAAAATCCGATCCGATCCGACAGAAACAAAACGAAATCCGATCCGAGTAATTTACTGTCCGATCGGATTCGCACCTCTCGTGCTTAGTATAATTATGGTTATGATCATTTTAAAATCACGGTTCCTACTGTATCTGTATGTTGTTAAAAGCAGTCATTTTGGTATGGGATTTGATATTTTTTATGTTTCGTTAGCCACCAATCGTACCAAAAATGCGGCATGCGGGCGATACCAGAAATTTCGATGAATATCCCGACGAAGATTGGCAGACTGCGTTACCTGTTAGTGGAAAACAACTTGAACCATTCAAAGATTTCTGAGATATCTGTTGTGTCTATAAAGATGTAAGGTATGGAATTCAAACGTTGACTGCAATACCGCGACAGAGCATGGGCAATCCCATGATCTAACCATGCATGGTCCCCCCACCGGTTAGGGGGAAGGGACAATACTCCGGTTAGGGTCAGGTACTCGAAACAAAAAAGTGCACCTGTATGACGATATACATAATAGAATCAAGGATGGCTGTATGATGTACATCATAGAAAAGAGACTATGCTAGCTGGTTTATTCAAAGCTAACATAGGTGCAATTTGTGTGCGCATGCATGCGGCAACAAAATATACTAGATTAATTAAAAAGTTACTTCGCTAGTTAATGTCTAAAGCTAAAAATGGTGGAATGAATTATTATTTTTGATATCGTTGTGCATCATACTTAAATAAAACAATGTATACAACATGTTTAGGTTTGGCAATTTTAATTTTTTTACAACTAATAAAAATAACAAAAATATTAAATAGATAGAGGAAGCTTATATAAATTTTGGTGAGGTTTCAAGCCAAAGGTATAGATTTAAGAAAATATTTCTTTTCCTAAATTTCATTTAATTATCTAAAAACCGTTCCTAGCCATTGTGTGTGCAGCAAACACTTCACGGTATTTCTATTACATGTATATTATTCATTATGATCTTTTGCGATTCACATGAAGTATGTGTGAAAAATTGAAAATGTTCCTGAATCTTGTTGCTAAGTTACATGTTTCTCCGCAACCGACAATATGGCGGTATAGTTTCCGTAATGTGGACCGTCCAACGATGAACGTATTTCACTGGATGTAGCTCTTACCATATACAGTAATAAGAGGATTAAAGGCTTGAAAATTCCGCCTTGTGGAAAACCGCCTTAAGAGCGGTTGTACATTTACATATTAATTTATTAATTCTGTTTTTATTGTATTTACAGTGAGAAAATATCCTGTCAGACGAGATAAATGTCTACTTCGGTCAAGGAGGATTAGAGACAACGCAAGAAATGTGACCATTTGGTCGGACCAAACTATTAGCGAGCTTAAGGTACGTTTACACGCTGCGATTTGTCGGGCCGATTTTGCTCGCTGTATGTAAATAACCTGTCGTGAGTACTCGCGTCAGCACCTTGCGATTCACAAAATCGGGAGAAAAATCTGTAACACTAACACAGATTTTTCTCACGATTCAACGATTTTTCTTCCGTTGTAAAGTTGTTGAAAACTTTTCGCACGCAGAAAACTATAATATGAACAGACGAAAGAGCGGACAGCTTCAATTGAACGTTTAAATCGCTCAATGTCGAAGAAGGGGCATCGATTATTTACCAAAATCGGCCCGACAAATCGCAGCGTGTAAACGTAGCTTAAGCAAGCGACGTTTTTGTCAACACGGACGACAGATTACCGAGGGGGGGGGACTGGATTAAAAACTGTGTTTCTGTCATTCTGTGGTCATCGTCAGCACATAACTTTTTTTGTTTCCTTACACGAGTGCTATGGTGCAAAATGCCGCCAAAATTAGTTATACCAATTTCCGGGTGACAAAAACAGGTGTTGACAAAAACGTCGCTTGTTTAAGCCTGGCGCACACGATGCGATTTTAATCGGACAACATCAAAACATTTTGATGATATACGATTTTTATCGGTGGAATTTTAAGTATAACCAATCAGATTTCATGCTGTGATCACGTGCTTGTATTTATTTGGCAACATGGCGGCTACAGTTCAGGGAGCGTATTTTTTTCGTAATCGTGTGCGGAGTATACCGATGTATATCGGTATGTCAAACGATTTTTATTGGCCGACTAAAATCGCATCGTGTGCGCCTGGCTTTAAGCTCACTAATATCGTTGTCGGAGCCGCTGTAAATGTTATGAACAATTTTTGCACAGTCAATTTGAATAACGCATAGATATTTTTATATAGCTAGGAATAACGAAATACCTGCACAATTGTAATATTTTTTAAATTTTGAAAAATGTTTTTATAGCACTTTAATTGTGTATTAGATATTCATGTTCATGAGTTGCTCGGTTTTGTTGTTTTTGTTATTTGAATGCGTAGTCGTAGTATTTGTGATTCAGTGATTTGTGCATGTGGTCGGAGTGCATAATTGTCCTCACACGATAAACATGAACAATTCAAATGCTAACATGCTTGTACTACATGTAAATAACTCATTTATTTGCATACACTTATTGTCTCTTGTGCATGCCCATGCGCGCAGTTGACCTTAAAATTATCTCGTGCATGCATGCATTTGGAGGACAAGTTGACAAGCCGCTACTCGGAATGTGCAATAATGAACTACATTTTTTTTTCAAAGAAAATTGCCTCCGGCATTGGTGTTCTAAAGTGAATCAGGCCTTATATGCTCCATAAGGCGTTGATACGGATCATGTTCATATTTAAGACTGTTGACTATTGAGTTGCGCCTAATCCACTATTCGGGTTGCCCACTTTTGATTGTGAAACACCTGGATTACATGAATTTACTAGCAAAATAGCAGCAATTAATGAACTTGAAGTTATAGATTTGGACTAAGAAACAACGAAGGCTAGGTATGTATATATTGAGAGTTTTGGCGATTTAAGGGATATTTTTGGTGCTTTCCTGTTATTCGGTCAATTTTAAGCCGCGATTTTAATAAGGCGAGTTATTCCACCCCAGAGTAGGCCAATACCATGAATTCTCTAGTCTTTGAGAAATTGAATGTTAAAAATGGCAAAGTTCATGCTAAATTAAGCAACAGGCCTCACTATAGCCTTGTTTTGGTGATTTTTTGTACATTTAATGTAAAAATTGTGGCGGCTAATTTTCGAATTGGTCAATATTGTTTACAATTTAAGAACTGATCCCTCTATAATTATCAAGCGTTCGCAGTTCGCTTAATTAAGGTGGCTCCCTACAGTTATAGTAGAGTTTAAAACGCGATTTATGTAGATCAGACGACATCCGCGCGAGGAATCTTCGTGGCTCTGTAAAAAAACATTGAAACAAGCAGCGAGAAGTTTTTTGGCGTTTTTGTCTTCAAAGAAACGCCAGTTTTTCATTACAATCCAAAGCCTAGCTTCCATATGGTCGTAAAAATAGAGTCACGATCTTTCTCAACGACCAGTTTATAATAGTTTATACCTGTAAACCACATTTAAATCATGTATTCTCTATATAGTCAGTTATAATCACTTCGCGTATTTTCAGTTCTAAAATGTTGTATTTCGGCTGTGAGAAAGATTGTGACTCACGTTTTACGACCGTTACGAGTTAGTTACGACCATATGGAAAATATTTCAGAATTCGAACAGCACGTATGTTATTAAATTAACTAGTTTAATAGATCAGTGCCTTTAATCTATCATTTGGTATGTTTTTACGTAGTACGTTCAGCATTGTATCGGTATACTAGCTGCTCAAAATTTTCAACTTCTTGTGTCGCGGACTGAAATGATCCTGTGTTCAATGAACTCTTGGACCGTTGAACTGTCGCCAAAACTTATGTAACTTAAGGTGGCTATACCTACACTTTTTTAAAAATGAAAGATTTTCTGATTTGGATATGAATTTCTGGACAATAATTATTTGTTGAAAAACAAAGAGTATCTGACTTGAATAAAATAATAACTAAACAGCGGTTGCTATGGCAATAATGACGTTTCAATATGGTGGACATTTTTGGTTTAAAGTAATTTAATTCGAAAAGAAGGTCGGTGACCCCCATTTTTTATTTTATAGCATTTCTTTTAGTATGTTGAATCATTTTCGTGATTTAAAAAAAATTCTGTCAAACTTCAAAAATTCTGTCAAAAAATCAAACTTGTGGTCGAATGTTTTGAAAAGTTTTCACATGCCGATTTTAACAATAAAAACAAATTTAAGTTCTTTGTAGGTTTGCATGGCGATAAAACATTTATATACTTGAAACAGGACTGTAAGAGTGTGTACTAAAACAATCAGCCAACACGGCCTCGTTGCAAAAAATGTAATTTAATGCTGCCACACTTTACACATTTAAATAGCTTAATTAAATTAAATTAAATTAAAGGAACTTTTAATTTACATTCATTAATTACAATATAAATTTGTGGCGATGTTACAATATGCAACTTTCCAATGCACTTCGCGATTTTGCACTGATGGGATGGTGCATCGTATAGTGGACGTAAAATTGAAAACGTCGTACATACGTTAATTGTAGCCAAGTATTTTCAATATTTCGGAAATATATAATATGGAAATATTATATATTTTCAATATTATATGGAAATATTTCGGTATTGCGACGCTATAACGTGCGAACAAGAACTGACGAGGTTTTACTTGACTAGACGAGTGGAAGGTATGCTAAACCTATAGCAACCGTTCTCGCAGCAATGTTTATACGTAGATTTATAACATGCACATCAAAGTATTCAACCAACTCCTTTACATTTACATAAAACAGACTGTCTGTTTGTAGTATACTATGTTTTGTCTTCTGCATGCATGTGGGGTAATCAAAAGTAAATCATTTTTAAAAAAAAAATTTTGTAATGAGGCAGTCAATCGTGAGGAACTGTTCGGTTTCCGAACATTTTTTGCATGTTAATCCGCATGTTTTTAAAGACAAAGAGTTGGAAGCGCAGTTGCAATTATACGATTTGCCATTTTATTATTATAAGACAACATACAAGAAAAGCCACAACGTCACAACACGGCCTTTACTCTTAAACACTATTGAAAACTTGAAATCAGGTACAATATAAATCATAGCAAATAATTAGCATGTTTTTAATAAATTTCGCCACTTATCTTTGAGATTTTGTGGCGTTCGTCCTTGTTTAAACCTGTAATGATCGAGGATACTTTTCCATCTGTAGCCATATTTGGACACACCTTCTTTTAGGTTCTGTTCTTCTTGAACAGTAAATGGGTTTCTTTGTGTTCTCTCTGCAGCCTGAAAAAATGCGCAGTATTACGCTAAGCAAGGAAATATAGCAAGCAAACAAACAAACAAGCAAGCAAACAAGCAAGCAAGCAAACAAACAAACAAGCAAGCAAGCAAACAAACAAACAAACAAACAAACAAACAAACAAACAAACAAACAAACAAACAAACAAACAAACAAACACATGAACAAACTCATGAACAAAAAATATCCTGTTGATTCAAGTAATTTGAAAACATGGCCTGAAGAAAATTCTTTGTTTGAAATAAAACATATACCTTCATAATACTTTGGTATTTCTGTTTTAATGTTTTTGCAGAACGCTTCGTGTTGAATTGGCAGTATCTCTCTATCAAATTGAACCTCGGACCGTACTTATCCACACCTAAATAATATCAATTACAAACGGAATTACAATATGCAGAATGCACGATCGGTATAAAAACATGCAGGTTATGGAACATATTTTCAGTACCAAAATGGAAAAGTTGAATTCTCAATAGATTTGAGATCAATCAAATAAAAAATAGAGTAAGGTTGGAAATGATTACATTTATTTGGCGCTAAAACATTGGATTTAGCGGTAAAAGTCTATTTCGAATGATTTTTTTCCAATGACAGGCGTTATTTTTTAGGAAATTGAGGATTGTTTCCTGCAACATGCATGGATAAGAAACAATACATATAAATATTAAATTTGTTTTGTTCTCTGATTAATTTTGTACTCATTTGAGAAGTAAAATATGAACAATATTGTCACCATGCATATTATAGTATAAATTAAATACAGCGCGCTGCATGTGGACGAAAAACTACACGGCAAAATTGTTCCATATTGTACTGTCACTTGTAGAAATATTTCAATTCCAAATAACAATCATATACCAACTAAGGGAGCGTTCATAATTTATGTGGGGGGGGGGCTATGAGGATTTTATCGGGGGGGAGGGTCAGCTATTTTTACCAGTAATCTTAGCCTGCGAACAGGCTCTCAAGCTGAATTGAGAGCCTGCATCGATGACTAATGAATTTGAATATCTGCCCCGTGACGTTCATTTTTCCAAATATGGAATGTCTATCCTTATATGGTGTTGTTTACAACTCTCGTGCAAACTAAATTTAGACCGTGCAAACTAAATTTAGACCGTATGGTTTATACTGTTTTTCGAAATATAAGATATTCAAGCAAAAGTTCAAATGTTTTAAATACTGTTTTCTCAAAACAGAACATTTCGTGCTTTGAGATAAGATGGCCCAAACCAATTTGATCATTTAATGTGTTTTTTTTATGCAAAGTGCTTCAGTTGACATATATAGAGCTCAGCGGAAACATATAAATTATAGCATCTGACCAATGAGAATTTCGCGTCACGATTTGAGACGCAGATATTCAAATTCATTAGTCATCGATGCAGGCTCTCAATTCAGCTTGAGAGCCTGTTCGCAGGCTACAGTAATCTTTATAGGGGGCTATAGAGAATAAGTTAAAAATCTGTGAGGGGGGGGGG